GCTCCAGGCTTTGAGCTGTTAGCACAGAGCCCGACGCGGGGTTCGCACTCATGGACCGCGAGATCATGGCCTGAGCCGAAGTCGGCCGCTTAACCGACTGAGCCACCCAGGCGCCCCTCTCAAACATTTTAAAAAAATTGTGGTGAAAAAAATATCACATAACATAAAGAAAGATGGAAATGTTTCATGAATTGCATGGCATCCTGGTGGAGAGGCCATGCTAATGTTCTCATTTCAGCTTTAGTATATATGCTGCTGAAGCAAGCACTCTCAAACTTTTTAACTTCCAACCCACAACATGAGACATATTTTACATCATGACCCAGTAAATACATGCATAAATAACTGAAATGAAATTTTACTTCACAATACTTGCCATACTCTGTTTCTCTACTATGTTTTATATCTTTCTTTTAAAATAATTCTGGTTATGGCCTGTTAAGTAGACTTTATGACCTAGAGATACTGATCTAGAAACCTCAACAGATGGGGAAGTTGAGACCCAGAGATGCCTGGGGTACCTAGCACAGTGTCTTGCAAATAGTAATTCTAAGTGTCTTTGTTGTATTTCCTTATGTGACTCAGCACACCCACGCAGCACCTCAGTGGCAGAGCTGGGATGGAGCCCAGATTTCCTGATTCCCAATCCAGAGTTTTTCTGTCAAGGAAAGTTTGTCAAAGAGGGACTCTCCCATGGCAGAGTTTCTTCACAGGTGTGGGTAGAAGTAGGGGGAAATAAACAGTGAAGTTGTGAAAGACCCACACTGCTCCGCTCCCCAGTGGCCCTTGCCCAAGATCACCAGGTGCTACGACGGAGCTAAGTCCAAAGCTGGTGCTCTTTCTCTGGTTACCTATCCTGATTTGCTCAGTGAAATCACCTAGGAGCTCTGGACTTATGTCCAGCCTACACTCAGATCAATTTCATCCAATTAGTTAAGGGTAGGGTATGTTCTAAAAGCTCCTCAGCTGATTTGAATGCAGAGTGACCACCTCAATGCAGGGTAGAAGATATCCCTTAAAACTATTCCTGCTTCCCCGTCAAGCTCCAACCAAAATGCCTCCCTCCTTGCCCGACAGCATCCTGACTCAAATTCAGAGTCCAAAATAACTGCCTTCCCATTATTGTATTCATCCAGCACTCCTAGAGCTTTTTATCCTGTGTTTATCTCCCCTCCTAGACGATGCATTTACTGAGTGCAGGGCTTATGCCTTACTCATCTCTGTATCCAAGCATGCAATAAATATTTACAGAATGCCCTTTGCTCAGATGGCTCTTCTTCCCCAAACCACCCAGACCTCCTAAATCTCCTGTGATACAGCTATGACTCCTAATGAGGGTGATGAAATTTCTCCCCAGGATGAGTTCTACCAAGGACAAGAGGGACACTCTCTGTTGCAGCTGCAAAATCCTGACCAGGGAAGACAGAGTCACTAAAGGCAGTGAAACTGCAGCAATGCTTCTTGTGTGTCTGGGCTTTCTCTCCCAATATTTCCCCTCCAGTGTCTTTCAGATTTTGGACAAGGCAGTGGCCCAGTTTGCAGAACCCTGGGCAGGAAGTGGGGAAGAAGGACTTCCTGTCCTTATCATGACCGTGAGCACGTTGTGCAGAACTCACTTTTCCCTTTTGTTAGCTGGGAGTGACAGCATTCCTAATTCAGTTGTCACCCTCTTCTTTCCCCCTTGGGGATTAAATAAGAACTCATATATGAAAACAAGCTTCGTTTGGGTCCTTGAGCTTTTCTGAGGACAGCTTTGTATAAATATAAGATACCTTTTGTTATTGTTTATAGCCCAAGGGATTTGCGGAAAGAAGTTGAGAGCCAGCGATGCTCTTTTTTATAGGCAGAAAATAGCTGCTGGAAAAACAACCTGGTGTGTAAGAGCACAATGTTCTTATCGAGCAGACAGAATTATCTTTCCCAGGCAGCCATGAACGCGAAACACCTGGTGCACACGTTTCCTGCCCCTTCACATATTTTGAAAGAAAGGGACCTTTACCCTGACCTGTCAAGCAGTGATCTTCATGAACTTCTGTCCACAGACTCTGTGCCAGTTATCTTGGCTTGCTGCTATGGATTTCAATGGTAAACATAGCTGATTGTCACTTACGGGGCATCTTCTTCTCCAGATAACATTCAGATCTTATCAGATCCACACAAATGCATTTCTTTTTCCTTAAAATGCAGCCACTGGATTGGTTAAGAGCCAGGGGCTTCCTACCACATCCACCCAGCACGGGATTGGGTGCTGCTGAGAAAAACAGGGACCTTGAAGACTTGATCCTGACCTGGCGATTGTTTACAATCTTTGGTGAAAGAAAACAAAACAAAGTGACGGAGAACATTTAGTGAACAGTACATATCTATTCATAATAGGATTCGCTTTCTACGTTAAAAACTCAAAGGTGTTTAAAGAATGTAGAAATCCATGTGGGGAAGCTCTATGGAGGACAAGGACACAATACACACAGAAGGTGCCCAATAATGTCAGTTAAGTAAATGAAAGAAACTTGAGTTGGGCCTTGAAAGACAAAAAGCATTTGAAACGGCGGAAGAAGGAGCAGATAGCCATGGCTGGAAAAGCCACGTGGCACAGTAGTTTAAGTACTGACAGTGGAGTGAGGCGGGTTGACCCGGGTATGCCACACCCCAGCTGTGTTTCTGAGCAAGTTCAGTAACATCCCTAAGCTTTAATTTCCTCTTCCATGATAAGTGAGTACTAAGAACACCTCCAGCATTGGTTTGGGGGAGAATTGAATGAGGTAAATATAGTCAAAGCTCTTAGCACATTGCTGAGCCTGTAGTGCTGCTCGAACAATACTTGTTGTTGCTGTTGTTGTTACCGTCAGGAAAAAATGCGAACAAAGGCAGGAATCACTTAGTCTGTAATAAAATAATCAATATACTTGGTCTCAAGTGTGATTCATATGAATTCAAGCAGACAGAACTTGCCCACTGGAAGGAAGAAAAATGTATATTACTTCCTCAAGCTCTAATTTCCTTCTTTCAGCACCTCCCCCACCCCCCACTGCCTCCATATCCCCACTGTGCCACAGAGAGCGCATCATCCCTCTTCTTTGCCCTCCCTCTCCACTGATTTCCCCTGCCCCCTTGCCCAGGGCTGGACGAGAGCCTGGTGAGTCATAAGGAAGGACTCTGCAATTTTAGCCTTTCTGGCAACAATGACAGTGTAAGGGGTCTGGGGAAAGAGCTTCTCTTGGATGTTTCTCGATCCTATCAGGTCATAAATAGATGGCCAACCTCCTCTAACATAAGGAGCACTCAGCAGGAAAATTATGAGTTCCTTCACAGATCAAACTTTGAAGAGTTTCAAAGTTTCAGGAGAACTGAAAGAATTCTTCATTTTTTCCCTGGCAGTGACCCCCCTTGGGCCACAGGCACCACAGCGAAACCATGATGTCACAGGCCATTAGACTGTTGTGCAGTTTGGGCACCGCACACAAAAGCCTGATGTAGGCATCTGCTTGTCCAGCTGTGAGCTCCAACCTTCTTCCTGCTCAACTCACCCTATAGATGACAATCATATTCCTTATGGCCATATCCCTAGGTTCATAAGGTTCTCTTGGCAAATTACCTACAGAATAAAACCCAAACTCCTTAGCCTGGCAGATAAAGGTCTTCACATCCATCCCTGTCTTCTCTGCCTCCTACTCACCTCCTGCCACAATAAACTTCTCCTCGGTTCTCCCAAACACCACACTCTTTCAGGACATTTTCCTTCAATCTGAACATCTTCCCTAACCTTCACCGGTAAACTCCTGCTCACTGTACCAGAACAACTCCGATATCACTTCCAAACTAAAAATGATCAGATGGTCTCCAACCTTTGGACTCTACAGTCCTTTGTTCCAGTTTGTCTAGATCCCAAAAGTTTGACACACAATAGATGCTTAAGAAATATTTCTTGGGGGCGCCTGGATGGCTGGGTTGGTTGGGCATCAGACTTTGGCTCAGGTCTGATCTCACCATTTGTGGGCTCGTGTGTTGGGCTCTGTGCTGACAGCTCAGAGCCTGGAGCCTGTTTCAGATTCTGTGTCTCCCTCTTTCTCTGACCCTCCCCCACTCACACTCTGTGTCTCTCTCTCTCAAAAATGAATTAACACTTAAAAAAATTAAAAAAAAAGAAATATTTCTTGAATGAATGAATGAGTTCTGACTTCAATAACAGCATTCATTGCAATATGTGGTAACTGTCCTACTTACTTGTTGGTTTCATCCAACAGTGAACTTCTCAGAAGGGTGAGGTAAAAAGAAATTGTGTGTTTTATATCTGGTGTCTCCGACCCTAGCCCAGTGACTCATAAGGTAGGCTTCAAGTCAAAGTTTGACAAATTAGTGAATTTCTAATATATCTTCTGGGGAAGTTATTTTTTTTCTCATTATGCCTTCTTTATTGCATGATTAGCCTGTCCTCAATTAGTGCTGGGTGGAGGGAAGGGACAGGAAAGAGATCAGAAATCTTTTGTTACCTTACCTATCCAGCGTATAGCTGAGAATATGAAAAGCAGGAGCAGGGGGAGCCTGTCTCAGATTACAGTCCCTGGAATAAGGCTGAGACAGCGATCTTGGGCAAATTCTCACCGCAAGACCTTGTAAGGGAGTGGGGGAAGAAAGGGCGTGTGAGAAGCGAAGTGAGGACATGGGTTCAGCTGTATTCCACCCTTAACTCAATCCCATGGGAAATTCTGGGACAAGGGTGGCTTCATGGAACTGTCCTACCTGGAGGCAAAGGGGCTGGGCTTTAATATTGCTTCGTCAGTAGTTGTCTGCAAGCTACACCCAGAGGTCAGGGGACAACCTGCAGGCAGTTTTGGGTGGAGCAGCTCCCATGGGCCAAGAGCAAGTCTTCAGGGAAGGGTGCAGCTGTAAGCCATTGGTCACCAACACTCAGAGCAGCTGAGTGGCAAGAGAACTAGTCTGGTGAAAGAATCTGAACAGCACAGCAAAAGCCCTTACCACACCCCTAAAAATAAAGAGAGTAGACAGTGTTTACTCCTAGAAAGATTATCCAAGACTTTATTTAAAACCTATCTACTCGTACTTGGTCAACAAGTCTCTTTGGACTGGAGCCTCACTCTTTAACAGATTAGAAACAGCAAGAGAGAAGAGAGTGCAGAAACTCTTAAAGGTAAATACACCAATTGAGAAGCAAAAAACGAACAGGAACTCCAAAAAACATTGCAGTCTGGAACCTTACAGTGTAAAGCCCTAGGAGGGTTGTAAATTAAAGTCCAAAAACATTGAGAT